TTCCCTATTGCCCACTGCCTGTCTCCCTCCTGCATTTGGCACTCTACTCTGTGCCTGAAAACCTTGACTCTACCATAATTCCTACACCGCCTTTCCCCATCCTCTCTGCCCATGCAAACATCTTCCTTCCATAAAGGAGCATTCCAAATGTCACTTCCTCAATAAGCTCTCTTTGACTCTTCTAATCCCCATCTGTTCTTCCCTTCTCTGAGCTCCTAAAGTCTGTATCACTCCTTTGTCACATCTAGCCAATTCCTCCCAATTTACTGAGTGCCTACTGTGTGCCTAGAACTGTATCAAGCACTGTGGATGCAAAGGTGAACAGAATGGGAGAGAGATAAGAGCAAGATGGACAGACCCTAAGAAAAAGAAACAAGCAATGGCAGGAAAAGACCAAGGCAACCAGCCAGATCTGAGGCTGCAGGGTGGTGAAAATGGCAACAACATATTGAGAGGTATGAGTGGAAATAAGACATACCATGGCCAGGAATTATCTTTGTTATCTTTCAACATGAGCCCAGATCCTGACTGAAATATAACATTCAGTTTCAAACTAAATGTAGAAATGGATCCAGAAAAAAGTAACAAGCAATAATAAAACAGATGTTAAACTGGGCAATTCAGAGAAAAGAGCAATCAAAGGAGAGCTGAGATATTTTTAAGACTGGCCAAGGGGTTTTGAGGTTCTTGATAACGATCTTTCACTGCCTTGAGGTGTTCCTGGTTATTTGCCTTGAGCTTTTAATGGATGTAAATGCCCTTCACTTCTGTGGATAACCAAACTAGAGAAAATAATCTTAAATTAAAGCCGGTGATATTTTGGTTGTGTTTAAGGAAGTTTTATTTGTTTTTGTTTTTGTTTTTTTGTGATGAAACTGGAAAGTGCAAATTTCAGAGGAAGTTGCAGTGTTTTACTACTTGATCCTTTAAGAGAAGAGACAAACCCTGTATCCATCAGCGTTTGGGCTTCTCTGCCTGAGGGTAGGGGCCTGCCCTGGAATCCTGGCAGTTTGTGATTGTAGGATTCTGGGGATTGAGTTACCACAGACATTGGCTGCTATCCCCCTACCCACACTGTCCATTAGGGCTGCTGGCAAAGTTACAAAAGTCATACTTTTTTCAGTTTGTATTTCATTTTCCTTGTTCCCCAAGAAACAGTAAGGAGCCAACCATCTGGAAGTAGAAGAATACAGAGATGATTTTGGTGCTTTCATAATGGGACAGTGTAGCTGTCATGAAATCAAACCTGAATAAATGAAAGCTGAAGAGACAAGTGAACAGCCCACTAAAGACTGAACAGTAGGGTGTTTACTGCTTAAACACACTAAACTATTTAACCACCGCTTAGACAAAGTAACCACCTTCCTTCTTTCCTCCCCCCCTTCTCCTCCCTCTCCTTCTCTTTCTTCTTTCTTGCATATTTTCCTGAAAAGTGAAATAGCTGCCCTTTGTTTCTTAGTGACAAAGTAATCTAGGGGAAACACAATCTTTAACAAAAGGTTATGGTCTCCATATTTCAAAAAAAGGGGGGTAGGGGAGTAGTCTAATTCCATGCATAAAATTAAAGAGAATTTGCATGGCTTTAGTGGAAAGGGGGAATTTATCTCTCATCAACTCTTCCCAGAAAGGGCAACATTTAAAGTATACCTTGCACAGACACATTTAGCTGCTATTTGAATACGAGAAGAAATCTGGCCATTTGCAGCCCAGTTTATACAAGGACTGTCCAGTGAAGAGCAGAATTTGATGGCGTGAAGGGCCTTAACAGCACCCTCACACTGACTCCCTCCCGAACCTGGAACTGATTTTGCTGGTGTCCACAGGGGGAGGTTGAGGGACTCTCCAGTGGCTGTCACTACTAGAAAACCTGCCTAAACAGGCTTCCTCTGTGAAGTCTTGGTTTCACTCTCACTCTTCTTAGTTTCCCCACCCCAAACTTCAGTTCTCTCCAAAGAGCAGTTTTAGGAATGAACGCCAGAGACCAAGGATGAGGGAACTGACGCCTCATCAGAGGGAGGAGGAGAGGGCTAAACTCTGAGAGCACCTAAATGTCCCCTGACTAGGTTTCTCTTTACTCATAGTCCCAAGGATTCTTCTAGAAACAAAAATGAGAGTGGATTCAGGTAGGTTAGCCTAGGCTGACCCTGATGGAGGGGTTGTGGAGCAGAGGCTGAGGGTGGGGGTAGGGATGGGGAGGGAGAGATTGGGGGAGGGATGGG